TCTATAAATCATTATAGAAAGACAATACAATAAATGTACAACATATATTAAAAAAAGTACACATAAAAACTCAAATGACTAATAAATGTATTGAAAACTTTTCAGAGTCACTATGGAAATGCAAATTAGAACAAGATGCCATTTTTCACTCTTTTATTTGCTAAACATTGCTAAAGATTTGATAGTAGCAAGTGTTAACAAGAATTAAAGACGATTTTGGTGGTGAATTTGGCAGTGAGTATCAGAGTATAAATTTTTGCATACCTTTCAGCAACATTCCATTGCCAGGAACTTATTTAATGAAAAATGTATACAGATATTCAAGATATTTATCCCATGATGGTCATTGCTGCATAAAAATTATTGTTTATATGGAAGATTAAGTTTAATTGCATAACAGTGGAAAACAGATAAGAAAGTTATGATGATGTACTGGTTCCTGGTCGACTCTTTTCCTTCCTTTTTGTGTATCTGTAGCATTGTCCTCTGTAGGCTTTTTGTTTAGGGCCCTGTCTCAACTAATGTTTGCCTCTCTTCGGCTAATACAAAGTACTGCTGGGGCAATCGTTGACAAGAGAAGTCCTATTATCTATTCCCCAGGATCTCTGCTTGGGTGCGTTTATGTGTTCTGCTCCATAACTCATGGTTGTTCTAGAATGGATCGTTACTGTTTTGATGTTCCCAGCCACTGAGCTCTATTAACATAGAGCTTTATTTTGTCCTCCTTTTGTATCCTCCACTGTTGTCCTTTAAAGACAACAAAGTTACAATTGTTATATGACAACATATCTGTAATCATGTTACAAGAGTAAAAATGAGATACTAGTGAACTTTTGTTAATAGATCCTAGATTGCCTCTTTATTCTTGGCCTTTTACTTCTGTCTACCATTTTTATAACTAATACTTTGTATTAAAGCTCAGATTCCTTAAATTCTTCAAATAGTTTTGTTTCCATCTTGAAACACATACACACACTTTTGCAGCCAGTAAAATGCAGTTCTGTGTAACCATTTATCGCTATTACCTGCTTTATACACTTTCACTTTCATTCATAGCTTACCTTAGTTTTGTTTTTGCTAACCAAAAGGAATACAAAAATACAGACATAATTACAGTAGAGAAGCCAGGTTGATGTGATACTGGCTAGAAGATGTAGGGCACTTGGCAGGATACCAGGAAACACATTTCTGGAGCCACCAGAAGGGGCATGATCCTGCTCATCCCTTCAAAAAGAGAAATTAAAAGAGAAGGAAGGTGGGGTTGGAGTGGGGACAGAAAGAGAGAAGGAGGGGGGGGCACAGAATATTTTTGCTTTCATAACAAAATGTGAATAAAAGAACATCATCAGCATTTGCTTTGCAGTAGTCACTGACGTCACTAAAAGCAGCAAATACTCTTGAGAGCAGCAGTGCCAAGCTCCTTTCTAGGGTTCTGCTTTTCTGTGTATTAGTGGTATTTTCTTTTATATTTTATTTGATAGGATTTAGTAGGTTATTTTGTGGGTCTGGGCACGTTCAAAATTTTTCCATATAAATTGATGTAACTGCACTTTCATTTTTAGTCATTTTGTCTTATGAAATATTTCATAGGAATGATTTACTTTTTGATAACAGAAAGAAATCTGTATTGAGTGGAAGAATGTTCCTGGTAAGTTGTTGACTCCCAGAATGAAAATTACTATATCTAGTTTTATAATGGTCCGTTATAAAAAAAAAACATATTCATGGTTAAATGCATTTACATGATGATAATAAACTGATAATAATTAACCTTTGGAAAAAAAAAACAGAAATGGCGAAAAACCCATGAGAAAAAGTTGATCTTGCGAAGTTGAGTAAGGGATCTGTGAATGTGTTGAGGGGAAGGGATGCTGATACTTTTTATTTTATACTGGCATACTTCATCTTATTGCACTTGGCAGCTTTTGTGTTTTTTAAAAACTGAAGGCTTGTAGACTAGTCAAGAGAGTCTATCAGGCCATTTTTTGCAACAAATGGTTAACATTTTTGACAATAAAATATTTTTAAATTATGTCCATTTTTTTAGACATAAACTATTGCACACATAATAGACTGTAGAGTAGTATAAACATAACTTTTATTTGCATTGGAAAACTAAAAATTTGTGTTACTCACTTTATTGCAATATTAGATTTATTGCAGTGGTCTGGAACCACACCCGAAATATATCCTTGGTATGCCTATACACCACTGTGTTGCTTGGGTTTTTTTCCCCCATAATACGTTGCATTTGCAATTTCAAAAAGTTTTAAAAACAGATAAGAAAACACTGCCTCGTATAACCACATTCACGAAATATGTATGTTCATATTTTTATTTTAATGGGAATAGTCTTGACAGTTCTATAATAACATTTGTTTTGAAAGTGCACATTTATTTTAACAGGATTACAATAGATTTTTACTGACTTTGCCATCCATGCTTGATGGAAGCTGAGAGTAGAAAAATTTAGGATGGAAGGTCTCACAAGGACAAACACCAGATGTGGGGGCAGGGAAGATTAATGAATCTTAACCTAAATCTGGCTAGGGAAGTGTCTAGGGCTTTGAGGTGGGGCTCAGCGAGAGAGGGGGGTGGGGGGGTGCAGAAAGGATTATCAGTCACAGTAAACCAACCAATAGATTCCTACTTGTAGATGGTAATTTCTATAATAATTCTTTCAAAGAATACTAGCTATAAAAGAAAACCCCTTGCTCTGGCGAAATGCAGCACGGTGTTTTAAGACTGTGCTTCTGTTTCTGTACAGATGTCTCTCTTTACTTTTTCCCCTTCCCTTAATAACCATGCATGTGCATATGAATGGAAATGTCTGCTGAATTCTTTCTCAGAGAGACTGAAGTACCCCACTCACAGAACCCAGAATATTCACATGTAATTTTTGTCAGTGAGAAACACAGGGAGAATCTTAAAGAATGAACCCAACTGAACTAAGAGGCTTACTAGTTAGAATGCACATCCATGTGCATGCTGTAAACATCATCAGTGTCTTCATTTCATTGATGTATTGTGGTGAGCTACACCGTTCATACTTAGTTTTACAGCTTTCTGTCTCATTTTAGATAAACATTGTGATACACCAAAATAAATCACAATGAGCAATTCTTCTAGTTCTCACCTCCTTGACTAAATAGCTGGTCCTTTCACGACAGAGCACCATGTTTACTGTCAAGTATATGCATTTCATAACCATATCACATACATGTATACATGTATACATGTGCACTACATTTTCATGAAATGATCTGTTTTTCTTCTTTGGGTCATTATGCAATTTTTGAGTATTGTATCCTAAACCCATTTTTCTCATAGATCCCATATTTTTTACTGTGGCATTTATATAATAGGTAGGTTTTTAAGAACACATGTGTCACATGACAGCACACTGATTATGATGTAGTTTTTGGAGTCAGTGGGTTTGGAGTGTGGGATGCTTGGATTCACTCTGGGAAAGGGTTCCCCAGAGCTCCCCTTTCAGCTGCAGGTGAATTTGCCAGGCAGGTTTCTCCAGGAGACAGGGACATTAGTTATATTTTGAAGAGCAGGTTTATTAGGGAAAGGGACAGAAGAGTAAAGGACACTTGCCTGGAAGCAAGTGAGCAGGGAGAGCTGCCTGGAAAGGGACAAGTTTGCTGCGAGAGGCCTTCATAGTTGCAGAAGGCCAGCCTTGAGGAGAGCAGCCCCTGCTGAGAAACGTCAGTCAAGAGATGTTCCCACATGGTATAGGTCTTGGGCAGCCAGGAAGGCTGCTCCAGGCTGCTGCCCTGCGGAGGGAGAGAGCTGGTGGAAAGAAGCACCCACCTAGTCACAAGTGGGCAGAAGACTGCTACCCTTGTGGGAGCAGCAACAGGATTTATCATCTCCTTTCAGTTGGGAAGGGCTGATCTTTGTGGGTGAATTGTTTACTTCTTCATCTCCATATCTTCACTTTCAGGTCTGTGCTCCTGCATTTCCTCCAGTAGTCTTGATAGTTTTTGTGGCTGGGTTAATGGCTATGTTAGCCCTCTACCAGCCTCCAGTTTTTGGCGTTGTGTGGGCCAGATTTCTAATCTTGTGGCACCTCCCTTCCAGTGTTTCTGTTCTAACCTCCATCAGTTATACCTCTACCAAAATGTCAGTAGTGTCTGTAGGTAAATAATCTGCTGTTTGTTATAATTTACATGTTCCTTCTAAAGCTGTCCTGTAGTAATTTTTTAAATCTAAAAGAAACTAAAAAAAAAAAAAAGATAACGTGGGAGTTAAAGGGTGATCATAGTTGTTTAAATGGAAAGGCTGAAGCTGTTGTGGAAATATCTACACATTCACTAATGATAAAAATCTAGACTGTCTCAAAGGTTCAGTAAAAGAACTGTGACGTTGCCTGGAAAACAGATAAACATCTTGCCAGCTTCTTCAATCAGAGGCTCTGTAAGTGCAAAGAAAAATACAAATGTGATTAGTCAAGATTCCTTTAAGCATTGCAGATCACACAACAAGCCAAATACCCCTACATTGATTTACAAACATTTAGAAGTTAACATGCTACAGATCCAGAAATATAGGTGGCAGTTTACATAATATGTTCAGTTCTTTCCTGATTTTCAAATTTCATCTTATTGCAGTTGAAACACGCTGTTCCTTCAGGGAGAACTGACTGTGGAGAGACTGCAAACTTGAATACAATATGAGTTTCAAAAGGGAAAGGACAAATGAATTTTCCTCATGTAATTTCAGTCTTGAACTACCACCCATTTTTCCAGAGTGAACTTTAACCTGTTATTATCACTTTCACTTCCCCTTTCCTAGTATCACATGGATTTTGGTTTGTTTGTTTCTCTTTTTGCAATGATAATTTTCTTTGCCTACAGCCAAACTCCTCTGCCTCTGTTTGATTTGGTCATGATTCCTCAGCTTTCCCTCCCCCACATGCCCTATACCTGGGACTTTGCCCACTGAACCCTGAACTTGTTCTTGATCCCAGTATTTTCTGTCTCTGTCCACAGGATCTGCTGTTGGTTGTGTGCTCTGTAGAGCTTTGTTGCTAGCTGTTCTCTGACAAAGCTTGTTCTGTGCAGCACATCTCGTCCTCTTTGTTCAGTCTCTGGCTTCAAACACTGAATCACAAATATTCTCCAGCTGGGAATCAGACAAGAGTAGAGATGAAGAACCCAGAAGCCCAACAGGATGTTTCGGTTTCCCAGGGAATTCGCGTGATGTTTTACATGATGACGCCCAATGAAACATCATTCCAAACCCTAGAAGAAGTGCCTGATTATGTCAAAAAGGTGAGACTATATGGGAAGAGGCTGCTCTTGCTTTTTTTTTTTTTTCTTAATAAAAAGTAAGTTGAAAGCATTCTGGGGTTCGTTCACTTTACTGCTTCAAATTTTGAAATTCTAATAAAACAATGACTGTTTCGTAATGGCATGGAGCAAAAGTAGAATTTCTTCTTGAGTTAAGTTTCTGTACAGTATCTAAAGTCTTCTATTAAGCTCCTATCCCCTGATAAATCACTGCAGAATATAATCAAGTTTTCCAGGGCAGAATGACATTGCAGCTTTCGCTATTAGAAACTCATGCATCATATGATATAGCACAACTAATACTGATTGATTATATGATATCTGAAAGCTTAGTAACAATCTGATTTTCACAAGGTAAACTCATCTACCACCTCCCAGGGAACTGTTTCCTCTTTAATTTGGTAGAGTAGTTCTGCAGAGTGGTTACAGAGCTGACTGAGTCCAACTCTGATTTCCTAAGTTTGAACTTGAACCAAGTTTTCTTTGAAACTCTGAAGTGTACAGAGGCACTTTTCACTTCTGGTTTCTGGCTATGATTGAAAGTGGAAATATCCAGAATTAGAACTTGAATACTGAAGTTCTCCACCCCTTCAAAGTTGTTCCTACAACACTTACTAGTTTAGACCAGAAATAGAAAAAAAAAAAAAAATGACATCAGAGAATAAGTTTCTAGGAGTTCAGTTTAGAAAACTTCAAAACTCACAGTTCCAAATGAGTGCAACCCACATCTAAGGATTTTAGTCTTTCTGATATCTTTATGAAAAAAATACCTATAATGCCATAAATTAATATTTTTTATATTGTAACATCAAGTCTATTCAAGAGGGAGTCTTAAAACTGCATAGAAAAAAACCCCTAAAATAATGTTTAAAACACTTGAAATCATTGCATCCTCTGATGTATTCAGAAAATACTGCTTCAACTTTATCATTCTTAGAAAAACTAGAATTTAGGAAAGCCTTTTAAACTGGGTTAAACATAGTCAAATTTGTTACTAAATTTTTTTTAATAGATAATTTTTTT